AAGCGTGTCCCTACCCTGCAATAATAAAGAACTCAAGAAACTAAACAATAAACCAAATAATCCAATTAAAAATGTGGTACAGATTTTAACAGGGAATTTTCAATAGAAGACTCTCAAATGGTTGCGAAGCACTTAAAGAAATGTTTACTATTCTTAACTCTCAGGAAAATACTGGTCAAAATAACTTTGAGATTCCATCTTACACCTGTCAGAATGGCTAAGATCAATGACCCAAGTCACAGTTTGTGCTGTAGAGGATATAAAGCAACGAGAACACCCCCCCCCCCAGTGCTGGTAGAAGTAGAAAATAATATATCCACTAAAGAAATCAATATAGCAGTTTCTCAGAAATGGGGAAAATATTTACCTTAAGACCTCACTATACTACTCTTGAGCATATACCCAAAAGACACCGCAGCCTGTCTCTCAACAGATGAACTGATAATGAAAATGTGGTATATTTGTATAACGGAGTTTAAAAAAAAATCATAAAATCTGCAGACAAAGGGAGGAAACTAAAAAATGTCCTGAGCAAGGAAACCCAAACCTGGAATGACAAACATAATATGAACTCACTTATAAGTGAATATTAGCTGTAAAGTAAAGAATAATCACAATACAAACTGCAGACCCAACCAGAGATGGTACGTAACAAGGAACACTCAGAGGGGACATATGGGAGTCTCCCTGAGAAGGGGAAATAGATTTTGTGAGTGGTCATGGTAGGTAGGGATGAAAACAGAATAAGATGGGGGAGGGAGCAATGGAAGGAGAATGTGTGGGGAGAGATTACTGGATTTGGGGCCTTTTCAGGATAATATGGAAATCTAGTGCCATGGAGACTTCCTGGAACCTACAAAAGTGACCCTAATGAGGAATCCTAGTAATGGAGGATATTATAACCTAAACTGGCCAACTTTTACAATGGGGTAAAACTTTCAGTAGTGGGACTGGGACTCCAACCAAGTCACAAAATCTTCAATCTACAAAATTGTTTGCCTCCAGGATGTGCTGGGAAAACAGAGGCTAAAAACTGTGGGAGCATCCAACCAATGGCTAGTCAAACTTGAGGCCCACCAAGAGAGAGAGCCCATGATCTACATTGCCTGAATGGCCAGGAATTGGAAGATGAGTGATTCAAAGTTCTAACAAACAACAAAACAAGACTGGCCAAAAGGAAAGTCAATGAAATGATTCTAAAAATATTCTGCTATGCTCATAGATTGATGGCTAGTCAATTGCCATTGCTACTGGGCCTTCCTCTGGCAGAAAATGGGAACAGATGCAAATACCCTCAGGCAAACATTAAGCTGTCCTCAGGGAACCCTGTGGTGTAGTGGCATTTCACTTGTATTTTAATGAATAAAACTTGCCTGAGGATCAGAAAAGTAAAACAGCCCCACTGGTCCACCTTATAGACCAGGCAGCAATAACACACATCTTTAATCATAGTTTGCCATAGAAACCAGGCAGTAGTGATACATGCCCTTAATCCCTTCCCTAGGAAGGAATATTAAAAGGGAGAAGACAGCTCTCAGTCTCAGACTCATTCTGAGATTCCTGGAGGCAGGATCGCCATTTTGGACTGAGGTAAAGATAAGAGCCAGGCTGTTTTACTTTTCTGATCTTAAGATTGAACCCCAATTTTTGTTTTTGGGTTTTTATTAATCATGCTGCCTGAACAAATTTTTCAATTACATAAATAGAAGAAGAAAAAACAGGGCTAGAGAAATGGCTCAGCGGTTAAGAGCATTGCCTGCTCTTCTGAAGGTCCTGAGTTCAAATCCGAGCAACCAAATGATGGCTCAAAACCATCTGTAATGAGGTCTGGTGCCCTCTTCTGGTCCAAAGGCATACACGTAGACAGAATATTGTATACATAATAAATAAATGAATATTTAAAAAAAGAAAAGAAAAATCCAAGATCAGTTGCACAGATAAGATATTATGATGTTCTACCAGGCAGTGGTGACTCACATCTTTTGCATATCTTTTAATCATCCCTGATAAACTGTGACAGAACAAATTATTTCTTCCTTATCAACCCACTAACCTAACTTCTAAGAATCTAGATGCATATGAAAATCTGTTCTCAGGCTGGCAGCTCTTGCAGTTTAAAGGATGATAAACAGAAAGAAAATGTCCAAGTCAGCCTGGGCAGTTTGCATGCTCCAAGCAGTGCATTAACGTTTAACATCCCGAGTGCCATTTGCCAATAGGTCCAAGAAAATTCCTCAGACCAAAGGTGCTGCACTTTTCAATTTCAATAAATTCAATAATGCAATGTTTGACTTTATAGAATTTATTTATATGTCTAATATTGGCATTCTTTTGCTTTTTGGTCATAAGACACCACAATGTCTCTGTATGAGTTAACTTTTCTAGGAAAGGGAGGTCCTGATATCTCATTCCTTTATCATTTTTTCATACCTGTTTTTTTCCATCAAAATTTTCCATCAACCCAATATTTCCAAGTTGTATAAATATTAAAAAATAAGCATGATGTACATGCAGAACAAAAACTAAAAGTAAATGACAGTGATCATGCAACTCGGCTTGGCCTTGGTGGATCTTTGTCAAAAAAGCTGTGTTGGCTTTATTACTTTCACCATCGCCTTCAGTTATGACGGCACCAGGGTTGATGCGTGCACCAGGCATGAGTTTGCTCTGGTTGAACAGATCTTAAGACCAGTTAGACAGCTGTTGGTTTCCCATGATAAATTTTGTTACAAGGGTTTTGTTCTTCTGTTTTACTTGTATTACACTAGTTTGGATGGATGGATGATGAGACCTTGTTAAAAATTTACATTGACCTTTGAAAAACCTATGTTTATATTCATAGTCCATGTTGGAACTGGTCATTTGTTTTTCTGACTTTTTTCTCTTTTTCTTTTTAGTTCTTCATATATTCTGGTTGCTAATCTTCTCTTAGATATATGCATACTTTTGGCATCTTCAGCAAATATCAGATGACTGTGGTGTTTATGAGTACAATGAGATGACTTCAAGATTTTTAATCAATTTAAAATGATTTGGCTATGGGACTACCATACACAGCCTGTTCTGGGCCAAGGTATATTTGCTCTAGAATTACTCTATGACTTTCAACATGAGCACATGTGGAATTTTGTCAAACACTCTTTCTTCATGTATTGAAATGATCGTGTGATTTCTTTTATGTCTAATTATGTGATTTATTACATTCATTGATCTGGGAATGTTGACGCATTCCCATGTTTTCCAAAATAAGAAAAGTGCCTTGGCATGATGTAAAACAAACAAACAAACAAAAACAATATCACCAAAATTAACAGAGTTATTACTGAACTTGGAAGCATCACAAGATATACCACGGCAATCCGATATGTTATAAGAAAATAATTGAAAAATCTATAGCCTGTTAGGTTGAAAATATATAAAAGAAACAGAGAAATAGTTAAATTTTTAGGTGCATACAATGTACCAAAGAATACACATAATTTTACAATATTAAGAACCCACCAATATTTAAACACACCCATTACAAATGAGGAAATTAAAATAGTAATAAAATCCTCCCAACCAAAAACAAGTCCAGTGCCAGAAAAAATCACAGAAGAAATCTACTGGAATTTCATTGAAGATCTCTAGTCAAATACTTCAAATTTTTTTAAAAAATGGAAAGAAACATTTCTAAATACCTCCTACAATGCTAGTATTGTTTTACTGCCAAAAGAAGGTAAAGATATAACAACAGCTGGAAAAAACAACAGACGAATTGCTTGCTAAATATACAATTTAAAATATTCAATAAAGTACCTGCAAACTATATATGACTATATATCAAAAAGATTATCCACTATGAACAAAAAAGTTTTAATTTAGTAAAATGTATATAAATAGCACATATTCTTGACTGTCATTTCATTTCAATGTTTTATGGAAACAAATATTTCTAAACCAATTAAGTTCATCGAGGATAGTCTTACACAAAGACATTAGAAAAAGATGTCCAGAATATGTACTCTGTATGATAAATGATTCATCCAAAGATAAGTGTACTTATGTATGAGGTACAATGTCACTTTTTGTACATGGTGAACGCTGTCCATGGATGGAAACAGAATATTTGGTCACTTTATACTTAAAACTTTTTACTTCCTTCGGAAGAATACATTTAATATCCTCTCTTTTGATATTATGAGACATTAAATTTAACTATATTTATTTACCTACAGAACATACCAGAGCCTATTCTGGCTAATGGGAAAAGTACTTCAGTAAGTGGTGGCGGGGAAAATATCTCTCAAACAATTAAACCGTATTCTATTCCAATTTAGACTAGTAGGGGGAGTTGAGAAATTTCATAATTTTCCTTTATGTTGGTGAAAAACATACTCTTCTTAAAGGACAGGGTTAATTCACATCTCAATAAACTGTGGATACTAGTTTCCCATATTTCCACTCACAACAACATTTGCTAACCATTGTCTTTTTATAATGACCATTCTACCTGGGATGAGTTAGTACTTTGTACTGGTAAAATGGGATCTTCTTAAAACATTTCAAGACTTTGAGATGGCTCTTTGAGATTGCTCTATTTTCCTACATAACAGACACTGACCACATGTCAATATTGGTCACTTCAATGAGAAAAGTAGAAACCGCAATGTGCTGCAAATACTCAATATACACAGGCTTTTAATATTGAAAACAATGAAGGCAAAGAACTTGAGCAAAGCAACTAATTTAGGTTAACTTTGTAGAAACAATGCTTCAATATCAGCACAAGTCATATCCATATTACATTACACTCAAGTGTATCTCAGGTTGTGTTACTATATTAATCTTTTGTCTAATATCTGTCATTAAAATAATTGACTGTAATATTGTGACTTAAATATGTTAATGAATCACCGGAAAGGTATATATAACATGTGTATCATACATTACATTTCCAGTATACAGCACTGCTCTGACATTGTCCAGGAGAAGGGAAAGAGGAATAGTCAGGAAAAAGATCAAGTTTTCATGAAAGACAATGTCCCAAAGACTCTTGCCATGGCTCCAAGGACTTCACTATTCCTCAGGCTGTAGATGATGGGGTTGAGCATGGGGGTGAGCATAGTGTAGAAGACAGTCAGAATCTTATCTTCTGTGGGTGTACGGAAACTCCTAGGTCGAAGATAAGTGTAGGCAAAAGGTGCATAATAAAATGTCACCACAGTTAAGTGAGTTGAACACGTGGTGAAGGCCTTTTTCCTTCCCTCTTTTGAGTGCATATGGAAGACAGCAAAAAGGACCCGGCCATAGGAAGCTGTGATGCCAAGAAAAGGAAGTGGAAGAAATAGGCTTGTGCTCACGAACACCATGTACTCATAAACCCAAGTGTCCATGCAGGCCAGGGGCAACATGGCTGGGACATCACAGAAGAAATGGTTAATGGACCTAGAATGGCAGTAAGGAATGTGAAAGGCATAGATCGTATGTGCTAAAGAGTTAATGGAGCCAAGTGCCCAGGACCCGATAATCATCTTCAGGCACATCGTTTTGCTCATGCGAATGGGATAATGAAGAGGGTGGCAGATGGCAACAAAACGGTCATAGGCCATGGAAGCCAGGAGCAAGCCCTCAGAACCTGCCATGGTCATAAAGAAAAAAGCTTGAGCTCCACAGCCCAGGAAGGTGATGCTTTTCTGGTCAAAGAGGAAGTTGAATGCCATCTTGGGAACAATGGCAGAGACATCTATCAGGTCCATGAGAGAGAGTTGACTGAGGAGAAAGTACATGGGTGTGTGGAGCCTGGGATCCACACGAATGAGGTGGATCATAGTTGAGTTTCCAAGTAAGGCCACAAAGAATATGGAGATGATGAGCAGCAAAAGTAGTAGGCCAATTTGGTTTTGGGGAAACAACCCCAACAAAAAGAAATCACTTGAGCTCTGATTCCATTTCTCCATTAAAATGTATTGCTTTATCTTTCTTGAAATGGGACCTAAATGTAAAATATACTTATCAAATGAAATAGAAAAAGAGCATAAAGAGGAACTGGCTTGTAATGAATGCTTGCACGGAATTGTTCTTCCTGCAGTACCGTCCTTCTGTTGATCTTATTTTGAAATATGAGCTGAATGTTCCTTCTGTCTTGCCTCTGGCCAAGTTCTCAATTCAGAGATACCTGTATGGTCAATTTAAAATCAAGGGTGGCAACATGAGTAAGATAGCTCACACATTTTCTCATAGATAATTCCAAGCAAGACCATTAAGACATAAGATCATCAACCCACCTGATAAAACTAAGAAAGCCTCTTTCTTCTGCATCACTTGCTTCCTGGCCCCATTCCCATAACTGGCCATACTGTAGAAAGATCCCAGGGATCTACTCCTTGGTGCTCTGCCTCACAAATTCTCTAATAAATCATTACTAAAAGTAGTTCCCAAAACTCTGTTCTGGAACTAAAAGATTTTGTATATGCTCAGATTCACACTAAACAGAAGATGCTATTTGTTTGTACTTGCTCCATAAGTGGAGCTTTGGTTTGTGTAGACTTTACAGATATCAACTCATGCACAGTTACAACTGAGGCATACAACAAAACATAAGAAATATCATACATGGCATAATATGTATTTTTTATAATTTACAGTTGTGAATAATGTACAAATTTTTCCAAATAGTATAAATGTTGCTTATATACATTGCTTTCTCCTATTACTCTGAAATTCTTTTTAAAAAAAAAAACCTGTTCATTGGGGAAGAAAATGCACAGTAAAAAATTTTTGACTTTCTACTCACAAATATATTAAAAATTGTTACATTTTTACTCATTTACTTATGTGTGTTTTGGGAGTATATACATGCCATGGTACTTGCATGGAAGATAGAATGTCATTGAAAGGGTATGTTTCCTTCCTCCATCCTGAACATCAAACTCAGATAATCAGATTGGAGGCAAGCATCTTTACATGCTGAGCCATCTCAGCAGCCCAAATAACAAAGTAATACCTTGGGGTTTTTTTATTGTTTATGTCACACGTATTTTACTTATACACTTTGGATTTATTTAACTAAGGAAAATAAAACAGAAGTTTTAGCCATATTTAGAATAAATAATTAAAACAAGAATAAATTAATAATTGGTGCATATGTGTATGTCTATAGTCATATATTTCTAAATACATAAATACAATATCTTCAGTCTACATAATGATTCAGGTATGTATATGTTTGCAAAAATGATCATTTTTGCATGAAACAACAAATTGAATTTACAAGAAAGCAAGAAAAGTACGTGGTAAAGCCTGACTAGATGAAATGAAAAAAAAGGATCTGATATGATTATGTCATAATCAGAAATATAAAAATATTATCTACAAAGGATAAAATAAATGAATGTTCCTGCACAGGAAATGTTGCCTACTTTTCATGGCCAATCCTCAGTGTAGGAATTGTTTCAATAATGGTGTCTCCTACTGCTGTTATGTGTCACCTGATTCTTCTTCATGCATTAGCAACCATTCAAAATCCATATCTCTCCAATACATGTCATCTTTCTTCTCTTACCTGTCAGTATAAAAGTTTATGTGTGTGCTCTTCTACCTAGGAGAAATACTGATGGCACAGCCTGACAAGGTTATTGGCCTCAATGTTAAAGTTGGGTTACTGATAATGTTCAGCAATAAAGAAAAGTAAATGGTACTTTATGAAAACTACTCACATGTGGTAATAGATCTATATTCTATATGTCCATGATGAGCAAAAAAGCAATGTAAAACAGAGCATGTCACAGAAAAATAGAGACATGATTTTATACTTATCTGGAAAAATGATACTGATAATGAGGAATGCATGTGCAACAACATGCCAGATGCCACTTTCTTAGAACCACAGAACTAGTTAGCATAGATTAAATACGACAGCAGAAGAATCCTGTGTTTCTTTATTCCTTTTCAAGCATAATTGCCTATAAACTGATTGATAAGCATGAAGTATAAATAAAAAAGTTACCAACTTTATTGTATACTTTCAAAATACCATCAATGTTCCTAGATGTCTGCATCCTCTGTTCATTAAGTCATTCAATATAATGTAATCTATAGCACGAATAAAGAAGGTGATGCCAAAAATAGAAAAACACACTAAAGTATACGACCTGTTGGTACATGGTAGTCCTCCTAAAAGAAGAACATAGTACACAGAGGAAAAGAAACAGATCGACTGGAGCCTGCACCAAGGCACTATGTGTAGGCATCATGTAAGCATGTATCTGTAAAGCCCACTTCTCTAACTTATGAACAAGAGAAAGGGCTGGGAGGGAAAGTCAATGAGGACAGAAACAATGAGAATATTGGTTGTGAAGGGAAAGTGCCAGGGCAGTTGTATAGGGTGAAAAGGACTTGTATTCTGATCTGAATATGATGGTAGACCAGGGAGAGTGATGTGCCCTTAGGTATGTTCCTCAAACATATCCAGAATGTTCTTATTCAGAAGGGAGCTATGATGCCAACCACATAGAGAATACTGATGATATGGAAGAAGAACATCTGGTGAGTGATCTGGATATGAGAAAAAGATACACAGGTCCCAAAAAGCCACTCACTCATGGACTCGTTACAGCAGTGGGCTGCCTACCTGAACATCGGCTCCTGACTGATGATTCACTGATATTTACTCTCTGAAACAGCACTTAGCTAGAGCAAGCTCTCATCCTGTGTGCCTGTTAAAATGAAAAATAGATTACAATTGCTCATACAGACAAAGCTGACAACATAATTTTTTTTTAAAAAAATAGTCTTCTGCATTATAACTTGTAAATAAAGAGAAACCTCATACAGGTACTTTCTTTACAACCTTGAACAAATATTTATCTGCAGAGGAAAGAACATTCCATAGTTTCTCTCAGGAGGCATTTCTGATAGCCATCTTTGAACATGGAGTCTGTGCTAAACTTACATTTCACACATTTGTTTTCAATAAAAGGAATGTACATGTGTATGCTCTCAGATCACTTCTCACTGGTTTATAAACATGCTTTGGTAAGAGTTACAGCAGAAATTATTTAGTTCCCAAAGTTTATAAACTGTCATTTTTGCAAGTAATTTTAGGAAACTGCTATTTTCAGGAAGCCAGATACCTGGAACTTTCGGTTTAATATCTAAAACATTAAATCAGAGCAAAGATCTCTATATTGAAGATGAGACAATTTCAGTATTTTGTGTGGGGTTAATTTAATACAGAGTCATGGAATGAATTATATTTTGATTACTTTACCTTTATATCATCCAGTGACTGCAAGGCAGATGTAATGTTAGTGTGTCTCTTGATTATTCCAAAAGACATGAAAAATAGAGTTCTTTAAAGTTCTGTAGTGGGGAGTCCTATTATACAGGAGTGCTACAATTTCAGGATGCTAGATTAATTTACCAAAGTAACAGGTATGATAACATACCAAGGACACACAGTTAGCAAGACATCTACAGAGCACAAGACCAAACATGAAATTGAATATCAGAGTCTCTGCTTAGTCTTAAAAACTCCAGGGTACTCCCAAGAACATGAACCTTAATGAGCATATATTATGACCTCCAGAAGGGTCCACTTCTTTCCTCCATTGCACAACTTAGCTTTTGAGAAACCACAAGACCAGAAAAACTCAGCCTCTTACTTAGGTCACAATCTTCAGAACCAGCACATTGTAGATTTCAAACACATTTACATCAATTCTCTCAGCATTTTAAACTAATGTGAAAGCCGTACATTTAAAATCTCCCCTAGTTATCCCTACTTATTCTAACCTAAACCAACTATGCACAATAATGTCTTTTGGACTTAGTTTATCCAAGTATCTTACACTTGTGTTTGTATTTGTGAAAAAAAGATGTATCTTTACAATAAAGCAGTTCCCTGTGGAGTCTCGGTGTCTTGAGAAGTCTTCACCTTCTCTGTTTGTTCATATCCACTACCAACTTCCCCACATAATTATCTCAGTGTTGAGTAGCCTCAACTGAATGATGAAAATCTGCTCCTTAGACAAGAGCCCCTTGTTCCACCAAACTATAAGGAAGGAAACTTTTCAAGAATTATCTACTAGTAAAATATTCTCGGTGAGAGGAAGAGAAAATCATTAACCCTCCTGAAATATATATAAGCTCATTGATCAGATAAAGCATCTTTTCTCACTAATTATTTTTTAATGAAATACAAGAGATATTTTAGTTTCTTTTCCCATACAATATATTAGTGAAAGGCAGAAAGACAATGCTATATTTTATATGTACAGTTTTTGATCAGCAAGTCAGAGATGCTTCTCTTTTTTTTCTTCTAATTAATCCCTTGTCTCTAAATCTACAGAGACAAAGCCTTGGCCATTTCTCCTGACTTGGTTTCTCTGAGATAGCTCAGTTCTGAACTTAGAGAAAAAATACATGACAAATAACACCCCTTCAATCACAGGATGCCTAAAAATAAACTAAGGAATCTACATTATTCCAGAAATGGAATTCCCAAAAATACACTGCAGTATTGCAGAATATGATTTGAAACCTGTAAGAGATGTTAGTCAATATGTATTAATGTCTCTCATTTTTAAAATATGGGATCCAGTGGAATACACATATACTAAAATATTGATCTAGACAAAAATTCTACTTTAGTCCTAAGTTAATACAGAAGATTTGTGGCAAAGTGGGTATTCAGACTCGGGGTCATTTACGCTGACAGATCCATCACTGATTAGAAAAACAAGTAAATCAAACTTCAAAGAAAATGAAAAATTTTGACCTAACCTTTAAATTTTTTACAGTTTGAGAAATGTTCCCAATACTAGCATATAGGATGTATGCTACATGTAGGTGGAGTTTCTATGCAGAAGCAGGAATGAGAAGACATGATCCTACTATTCTACTCAATCCACAGTAAGTACTTTTGTTGACTGAGGTTTTCTGTCCTGCCCTGCCCCTC